ACACACCATATGAATATGTTATTGCGAACTTTGCAATGGAAAAAATGTCGAAAAGTTCATCTTCGGTGTTTAATTTCTCCCACTTTATGAAAAAAAACATTGACATGACTCTGCCTCTTTTATATACGATGTGCCTATCCTTGCTATGCAAATATATTTATTCAATAATATATCTTGGTTAATTTTTTAAATAATTTAAACAAAAAAAAACACGTGGTTAAATATTTTTTTGTAGGCCCTTGAGTTTTCGTAGGCCCTGTGCACAGCGCTTACTGTGGCCTATTGGATAATGCGGGAGAGGTCGGGACCCTCGGAAAGAAGATAATTTTTGAAGATCCGTGTGTAGTCTCGTGCACTTGAACGGTTTGATGCCGAGTGTGAAGCGGCTAAGATGAGGAGTATCAGCACCTCCAAATTGTAGGTCATGGTGGATTGTGCTCTCCAATGTGAGGAGGGAAAAGCTGCCCTTAGTGGAGGAGTTTAAGTGCCTCGGGTCTCTTTCGCCAGTGATGGTAAGTGGGAGCGGGAGATCAGCTGCAGTGTTGCGGGCACTGTACCATTCCGTGGCAGCGAAGCGGGAGATGAGTTCTCGAACAAAGCTCTCGGTTTACAGGTCGATCTACGTTCCCACCCTCACCTATGATCATGAGCTTTGGGTAATGACCGAAAGGATGAGATCGCGGGTACAAGGGGCCGAAATGAGATTTCTTCTCAGGATTCCAGGCTCATTCTCCGTGATCGGTTGAGGAGCTCGCTATTCCGGGAGAGCCTCAGAGTCGAGCCGCTGCTCCTCTGGATCGATAGGAGCCAGTCGAGGTGGTTCGGGCACCCGGTAAGGATGCCCCCCGGTAGACTCCCCCTGGAACTCTACCGGGCAGCAGCAGCACGTCCCACTGGGCGAAGATCCCAGGGCAGGCCCAGGACACGCTGGCGGGAGGACTATGTCGCCCGGCTGGCCTGGGAACGCAAGGGAATTTCCCAGGAAAGGGAGGTCTGGACCGCCCTGCTCAACATGCTGCCGCAGCGACCCACGACAGAACAAGCGGATTGAGAAACGAGCGAACTGTTGAAGACTGTCTTCTTGGTTCTTTCGGTTAAAGTCACGTAGAATGAAAATAATAAAATAATAAAAATGAAACATAATAAAATAATTCTCACGACGTTTCGGCAACAACGCAAGCAGCTGTCCTCAGGTGAAGAACAGGTCTGTCGAGACGACAGAGTCTGAAGACTGCTAGTGTCGGGTGTTACTACACGCGGGGGTGGGGGGGCGGTGACCACAGGGATGGCGACACTACTCCTTTAACGGTCGTCAGAGTTCCACTTCGAAACGTCGACCGCCATCTGTGGTGAGCGCAATTTGCTGCAGGAGTTTGCATGTTGAGACGGGACGACGCTTGTCCACAAAGTGACCACCACAGCCGTCTCGAACCCAAGCTTCACAATCACTCGGAGACCGGGTCACAGATGCAACGGTGACATTTCTGGCGAAGTCGAATCATACATAAAGCCCCAACAGACTTTTAGGAGAAATTTGCTGTTAGCGAGCACCTTTGAAAACCGGCACGGACAACGAGGGTGTGTGGGTGGCCAGCACCACGCCCGGCCGCCTTTCTCTCCCGACTGGCGATGTTTATACAACACCGTATGAGCCACTCTATTTGAGGCTGAGGCGACCTAGGGGAAGCCCAGGGCCGGTTCAGATCGCTGTCACTGGTGTCGACCCGTGAGCGAGAGTTGAACCCGGGTCGCTTCAAACGCACAAACACACAACTACCGGATTATAAGACGATATCATCCCTGATGGAGGTTTTTTTGGGGTTAGATCGTGATCGAGATCTAACCCCCCAAAAAACCCTCTATCATGGATGAGCCGCTTGGTTGAGCAATCATTTGTGGCCAGGTCGCCTTCTGACAAAGAGCTACAGCTCATTGAGCCTTACCTGGTCAAATAAAAACATCAATTTAGTCTAATAGTTTTACTCTTTGGTTCTTTCGGTAAAGTCACGTAGGTATAAAATAAAATAAATCATGACGTTTCGCAGCCCCCCCCCCCTCTCTCATCCCCCTTGCCCCTCCCCCCTCTCTTATATATATAACCTCTTACCACGGCATCTCTCTCCCACTTCAGCAAAAAAAAATATATTGTCGTGGTTTTCTCACCTGATGATGATTGCTTGTGTTGCAATCGAAACGTCGTGATTTATTTTATTTCCTACCTACCTACGTGACTTTACCGAAAGAACCAAAGAGCATGGATTCCTGCAGTCACGAAAGCTTCAAATCTATAATAGTTTTAGTTTATACACACGCGCACACACTACATACAAGTGGATGGCTGACAGCTTGTCCTGGAGGAGGCGCTCTTGCCTCGTGCCGCACGTCAATCTCAAGCGCGACAAAGTAGCAGCTCCCACACAGCGCTGGAGGCGCGAGGCCACACGAAGGGCGAAATGAAGAACGCGGACACTTTTAACGCCAAACATTTCCACGACGTCAACAACAACAACAAACAACAACAACAACAACAAAAATCTGTTCATGGAAACATAAATTGCAAAATGCTTCGGCTCTTTCGAAACATTGGTGGGGTTAGAATAAAAACGATTGTCAGTCAATGTCGTGAAGCGATTGTTAAAAATAACAATGATTAAAAACCCAATCACGCGACTATGAAGCTGCACGAGTCGAGGGGAGTGGACTGGGAGTCACGTTCACAGCTGCTGCAACTCGACTGCCAATAAAGTGCAGATGCATTGACGTGCAGCTGCGCTCAAGTGCAAAGGAAGCCTGCTGTTTCACGTTAGACATGAGTCCAAGAGCCTTGTTTGGTGTTAAGCGCAACCCCCTGGTAAAAGTACGCATTTTGATACGCGCACATTTAATAAATAAATAAATACACCCATGAGTCTCAGGTCGCCGTCACTGGACTCGTCAGCCCGAGGCGGCATGAAACACGTAAGCACTCACATTGGCAAAGAGCAACAGTTAATACTGGTAGGAACCTCCTGGTTACACCAGCCCACACAGGATTATTGTGTCCGTCCGTCCGTCCGTCGTGCAGGGAGGGGCTGGATGGGGAGGGGCTGGGTGGGGAGGGCGGGGAGGGGCTGGGTTGGGGAGGGTGGGGAGGGGCTGGGTGGGGAGGGCTGGGTGGGGAGGGGCTGGGTGGGGAGGGTGGGGAGGGGCTGGGAGGGGAGGGTGGGGCTGTGTGGGGGGTGGGCGGGGTGGGGCTGGGTGGGGAGGGGCTGGAGCGTGGGGAGGGGCTGGGTGGGGAGGGTGGGGAGGGTGGGGAGGGGCTGTGTGGGAAGGGTGGGGCTGGGTGGGGAGGGTGGGGCTGGGTGGGGAGGGGCTGGTCACCCCGTGGTGCCCTTATAAAACTCAACGTTTAACCTACTCACGCCGGCTTGTGCCCGCCCTCACAGTCGGCCATATTTGCGGAATACACCACGCCGCCGTTGACCCTGGCCATTGTCCGAGCAACCCAACGTTCCTACCAGCTCCCTCCGCAGGAATGTGTTATCGCAGGAACAAGAACAGTCGCTACTAAACGTGATCATATTGTACCGTAGGTACATCACTTGCAGAGCGTGCGTTACAAGGACACGCGTGAAACACCCAACTGGAGGTAAAGAAGAAGAAAAGAAGAAGAAAACCCCACCGTGGACAAATTGCACCACGATACATGGGCAAACACGCTGGGCGATATCTGCCAATTAGGTGGTGACGCGTGGCGTAGCTATCAAAGTGTGCAGGCGGTGCAACTGCGCAGGAACTGGGCTCCAAAGAGGAGGGGAATTTGGACAGTGGTGAGGGAGGGCTCCCATTGCCAGTAAACACAAAACCGTTGACCATCATCTCTTTGTTTTTTGTGAGGTTTTTTTTCTCTCCCCCGAATGAAAAAGTGCTCCGTTACCCGTGCGTCTTGCCCGGAGTGCGTCTCAAGTCGGTGACCTTCCACTGAGGATGAGTTGTCGGGAGTAAATGCACCGCATTAGCCGTCTCCATTATTCATGCCCCATGTGCTCGCTGAAAAGGGCAGTCGCCGAGAAGCTGCACATCGCCTGCACGTGGCCGGCGACTGAACTTATGCTGCCCCTACGACCTCCGACATGGGTCCTGTATTCGCATGGAATACGAGTGGCATTCGAATGGTGCCCCCCGAGTGAAGGTGCAGGGGTTGATGCGTGATCGGCAGTCGCCACTCCTTCCCTTGATCTCAGTCTCTCCAATAACGAAGCCTTCTTTCGCATCCTACATCGCCAAACGCGCCTATCGGAGGTGCGGGGGGGGGGAGGACAACGAACGAATTACAAAACAAGGCAGTTCTAAAGAAATGAATTTTCAAGTTAAAATGGAAAGCGCGTCGCTCCAGTGGCTTCCTGTTATCGGAAGGAAGAGCGTTCCAGACGGCCTCCAGAAGCGCATCTGAAAACGCGCGATGCTCAATGGTTAGACTCGAGCCCGCCATAGGGAAGTGGAATTTCCAACACTCGCTCAGCACCATAAACACGAGGTTACCGCCTGCTCAAAGCACCCGGCAGCCGCGTGAGTGTGAGTCGACATGGGAGGAGGTTCAGGACGATCGCTACTGACTTTGGTCGTGGCCGGGAATCGATTTCGGAGAGCCAGGTGTGCAGCTCAGTGCGATAACCACTGCGCTCGCAGTTGCCACATACTATACACACACTACACACACACACGTGCTGGCACACGCCACGTACACACGTGATGACACACTACACACACACGCGTGCTGACACACTACACACACGACACACACCCTACACACACACTACACACACGACACACACACGGGATGACACACTACACACACTACACACACACTACACACACGACACAAACACACACGTGCTGACACACTACACACGTGTTACCCACTACACGCGTGCTGATACACACAGAGGATGGCACGCGCATGCGCACGAAGCCCCCCCTCCTCCCGCCGCCCTCACACCCCCCACATCCTCGCGTGTCCTCCTCTCCCTCCTCGCTCCGCGTGAAGCTGCGCACAGGAGGAGGAGGAGACGCGGCGCGCCAGCGAGCTGCCCGTGACGGGACGTCAACCCAGGTGCGTGGCGCCTCCAACGCATTCCAGCGGGTTGCCATCAACATCCCATCAACCCGGGCTCCGCAAGTCACCATCGCTGACCCGATATTCCAGGCTCGTTCCGCCGAGGTGCCTCTCCATCATCATTCTGTAACATTCCCGTATTCCCGAACGCATCACATGCCATCATTGCATCGCTCCGATGTTCTTCTCGTCCAGTTGTTGATGATTGCGTAAAAAGAAAACTAAGGATTGCGATGTTCTCATTTCCTTCCGAACCCAATAAACCGTGGACGAATTCTCATCCAATTATCCCGTGGATCACTCTCGTGCCACACTTTCAATTCACTTCTCATACTATTACTCCCGGCTCCGTCAAAACCCATTCAATTTACATCTCATCGCAATGTTTCTGGCTCCGTCTCATCGAATTACTACGATTGCCATCTCAGCATGTTATTCCCGGCTTCATCCTGAATGGAGTAGTCTCCATATACCATTATATTATTCCCATTTACACTCATTGCTGTAACTCCTGGTTGTGTCCCATTATATCATTGCTGGCTGCATCCTATCATAATATTCATATTTCCAGCCAATCCCGTAATTTATGGCTTCATCCTAATTTCCCAAAATTCCAAAAGACTTGGGAAATAGTGCGGCTCTATCCCCTATCATCCCAATATTCCCAAATCCACCCAAAAATTCCAAGATCCATCCCATTATTCCTAAATCCATCCCAATATTCCCAGATCCATCCCGACATTCTCAGATAAATTGAAATATTTTCAGCTCCTTCCGAATATTTCTCGATCCATCCCGATATTCCCAGCTCACTCCCGTTTTTTTAAGACCCATTCCATCTTTCTCACATCCATCCCAATATTCCCTGATCCATCCCAAAATCCCCAAACCCATCCCAATATCTCCAAATCCATCCCAATATTACCAGATCCATCCCATGATTCCCGGATCCATCCCATTTCCAATATCCTCAATCCACTCCGTTGTTTTCCACGCTGTGGTGGAGCCACGCGCCCTAACGCACGCAACTGTCGGCTTTGTCGCGCACCGAGAAGTTGTCATTGGTCGGCAAGTGTTTACATTCTGTGTGCACATTTGTAAAGGCCGGGGGGCGACGTGGCACACTTTATCGATGGGACACACGCGGAGGAGGATACGAGGAAGGGAGGTCTTGAAGCCGAACTTCGACAGGGGGCAGGCAGTCATTACAGCGTGCATAACACACGTTGTGTTCAGTCGAGTCGTGAGAGGTTCTAAGCAGTGAGAGGTTCTAAGTAGTGAGAGGTTCTGAGTAGTGAGAGGTTCTAACTAGTGAGAGGTTCTGAACAGTGGGAGGTTCTAAGCAGTGAGAGGTTCTAAGTAGTGAGAGGTTCTAAGTAGTGAGAGGTTCTAAGTAGTGAGAGGTTCTGAGTAGTGAGAGGTTCTAAGCAGTGAGAGGTTCTGAGTAGTGAGAGGTTCTAAACAGTGAGAGGTTCTAAGCAGTTGGAGGTTCTGAGCAGTGGGAGGTTCTAAGTAGTGGGAGGTTCTGCACCGATCCTGGACGCCCCCTCCTCCACCCCTTCACCAAACAGCACTGACCAGCGTGGTGAAGTATGGCGACACGACCCACGTGACCGACACGGCGTGGGGAGGTATACACGTTAGCGGGTGGATTGACAAAGGAATATAAATGACGATAATTATATCGCGTATTAAGCTAGAAGTATATACACGCGTATGGATATGTAATAACTGGTAATGGTTCGTATGTTGAACTTCTTTCGCACCGTACGTAGCCAACCGCGCTAATCGGGGGGATGCGGTAATGACACAGGAAATGCACGCACGTGCGTACATTGTAATGCGGCACGTGTAGTAACGTGACGTCTACTCGAACCCCGTTGTGTGTCGCCTCTGTGCTGTTGAACCCCTTGCAAACCCAAGAGCTGTGAATTGGACGATTCAAAGGGGGGGGGGGGTGGGTAATGCCTCCTACAGACCACCACCAGTTGCCAAAAAAAGTTGCCCAAAATTGTTATTTTATTGATATATACCAAAGAAAATACATTGGAGGGCTTTTTGTTGTTGTCGTTTAAAACGCTTGAAATTTCAGATGACCACCCTGACTGCCCCCCCTGCCCCCACTGCCCCTCCCCCCCACTGCCCCCCCCCCCCACTGCCCCTCCCCCCCCCACTGCCCCTGTGTGTAGATGCTAGGAATCGAACCTGGCTGACCAGGCTCCAGCACACACACACACGTACGTGTGTGTGTGTGGGTGAAACAATTCACGCAAGAGTTGATGTTAGAGACGGATCCACGTATTGTCCGCGTATTTATTTGTGTTGCAGCTACATCTCGTGTTTTAGGCGGAGGTTGTGTTCTTTAAAAGAAAAAAGCGGCGAGTAACTCAAAATCGCGAACATTAAACAGAATTTAAACGAGGCAAAGTTCACAAGATCTTCAACATGGCGCGCGAGAAGGAGATGCTGATGCGGTCCGCGCTTGTGGTTGCTATCGTACCCATAGCTGTCAACCCACAAGTCTTACCCCGTATTCTTGTACAGGGACATTTAGTTTTCAGGTCCATACGGCGATTTTTTTTTTAGCCGTTTCAATATAGGCACAAAACCGTGTCTATTTGTTTGTGTTTCTCCCTTGTGATGGGTCTTTGTAGGATGAACGTTGAGATTTCTAAGGGGGCACGGGGTGACCAATAAAGTCTGAATCGGTCAGTAATAAGGTAGGGAGGGCACTGATAGAGGCTTGACAGGTGTGCGTGCCGCTTGCACGTCACGCGGCATTCGCTGCTGAACTTTGCTGCCCCGACTAACGATGAAGCTCGCAAGGCGCGTCCCGTGCACCGTGGCCAACGCGCTGGATGGAGCGCGTCATTTCAATAGCAGCGCGCGGGCGCGCAACCGAAAAATTAAAGCGTGAGTTAAAATCTAACGGGCTATTCCACAATCGCGTCGTGTAAACCGCGAGGCGACTGCGTCAAACGTCACCCCACAACGCGAACGATCGCTCCGAGTTATGCATTTACGCAATTATTCTAACGGGTGCGTCAAACTCGGACCCCAGAGCGCAAAGAGAGGGGGCCCTTCGCCTGCAGTGTTGGCCAGTTCACCGGCATTGATTGAAGCAAGCCCGTCGCTGCTGATGACACACTGGATGTCGAAACCGGCCGAGGGTGTGCTCGCCTTGAATCGGTGCTGTTGAAATGACGCACTCCCTGTGCGGCTGATGGGTCACTGTGTGTAAGAAATAATTTCAATGTGTATAAAGGAGGCATATCGTCGGTGTATTAATTTAGTTATGGACAGCCAAAGGTCCTCTAAAACGTAATAAGTTTTTGAAAATAATTGTATCCAAAACAGAAATCAATATGCAAAGGAAAAGATATTCAAGGTCAATTAATTGGGGGTCACAAGGCATCGGGACCACCTTGTAGACTGGATGGGTGATCCCATCGCCCCTGGCATTGTCTCGTGAATTCACCACACTGAGTAATTAATTTTTACTTGATACAGCAATCGTGCTGTGATGGTTCCACCTGAAGACGGAAGCTTGTGTTGCCTCCGAAACGTCGTGATTTATTATTTTATTTTTACTTTGACTTCTATTAATTTAATTTTTATTATTTACCTACGTGACTTTACCGAAAAAGCCTAAGAGTATGAATCCTTGCAGTCACGAAAGCTTCAAATCTCGAAAGAAAAAAAACCACTGAGTAATTCCCACAGCCTTTTGTTCTAGACCAGTGGTTCTCAACCTTTTCTGGCTATGTTTGTTTCAAGCGAGCACCCCCCTCGCCTGACCCAAAATTGTCCTGAGATTTCAACGTACGAATAGTGAACGTTGATATTTTAACCAGTCGTCAATTTTGTGAGGCATCCTAACGAACGAGTAACCGCAAGTGAATGGACAACACAATCAACGGACGCTCCGCATGCACAACGTAATTTGTTCGCGCTCGCTGGCTACTCTGGGAAACCCGCATTGTTTAAGATCAATTAATTTAGAAAGGTATTCACATCGTTCTAGGTTACCATATGGATTTACATTTTATCGTATAGTTATTTTATTTTGGTTGATTTTTATACGTGATTATTCACCAATGGACTATCATGTATGCTATAATTTCACACATTTATAAATGACCTCACGTACCCCTGGGACATTGCCACGTGGTAACCCCCAGGGGTCCGACTGGTAACCCCCGGTTGAGAACCACTGTTGTAGACCACCATCTCAAAGGAGACAAAATTGGGCCAATTTTATGCTGGTAGGAACCTCCTGGTTACAGCAGCCCACAGGGGATTATTGTGTCCGTCCGTCCGTCGTGCAGGGAGGGGCTGGGTGGGGAGGGTGGGGAGGGGCTTGGTGGGGAGGGTGGGGCTGGGTGGGGGCTGGGTGGGGAGGGGCTGGTCACCCCGTGGTGCCATGACAAAACTCAACGTTTCACCTACTCACGCCGGCTTGTGCCCGCCCTCACAGTCGGGCATATTTGCGGAATACACCACGCCGCCGTTGACCCTGGCCATTGACCGAGCAACCCAACGTTCCTACCAGCTCCCTCCGCAGGAATGTGTTTATTGGCTGGCAGCAACAGCAATAAATTTGGATAACTGTTGTATGACCGGTTTCATTCTCGTGAGTGATCGTCACTGCAGTTCAGCCCCCCCAATTGCCCACAGCTGCCATAAGTCCCAGGTGGTTCGTGTGGATAAAGCGTGATCACTGTGACGAAGCCTTTGCCGTTGCAGCACCAACGTTTTGCAACGACCCTGTTTCCTGCCTTAACACCGTAAATATTCCTTCAAAAAAATATCCTGAAGCACACGATCAATGCTGGGTACAATTGCATTTGAAAATGTGGTTTGTAACGTTCGTCCTAACCCGTGTATGGAGAATTAAACGTGAGATTTTATTGCGGGACCGTGTTTTCTTGGTGTGGTCTGGGACTCTTGTTGATGTTGTGTTGCCGCTGTGGCCAAGCTTGACAATTTGTGTACTT